TCCCAGTAGATCCCGATCCGCTGGCTGGTGACCACTGCGTTACCCAGAGGCTGCTGCTGGACTCCAGGAAGCAGTCAGAGCCCCGGATGCGCCTTCCTCCCGCGGGATGAAGCGTGGCCAAAGTAAGTAAGTAGCAGCAACTCCTCAGTACCAGCCTGGCCAAAGGGATGGTGGAGCGTCATGCCACGTGACCCTCAGAGACGCCCTGTCCCAAAGACAGGGAGTCAGCATGGACCTAGGCCAGTCTGTGGTACAGCATGCTGGCATTCCCGTAGCCAATGCCGCGATGCCAGCAAGAGGCCCTGACGCTCTCTGCCATCCGTCAAGGGGATCTAAGAGGTCCCGCTGGCTGTACCCTGGCCTAGCCGCAGATGCTGGGATGGGCCCATTGCCCCAGCTTGACAAGCCCTAAGGCGGGGTCTGGAGGCACGGGGGACATCTGGGGGCATGGAGGGTGCAGCAGAAAGATGGCGAACACCAGGCCTCCAAAAACCAGACTCGGCTTTATTGGAAATAAAAATATCCCAGAAGCATCCAGCGCTCGTCAGAGGGAGCAGGGAGTTAAAGGTGCCGCAGCGCAGTGACAGCAAAGTACAGCTGTGGGGTGGGGGAAGCCAACAACCTTGCCCCTCCTCCCCACTACAGCTACTAGTGCCCCAGCTCCCCACCACCAGCACCTAGCTGGCCGCAGGACTCTCCCCTCCAGGCTGGGGAGAGCCGGCAGCTTTTTTCCTTGGGTGTGGGGGGGGGGTAGTGGTGGAAGGGAACGGCTCAGGGGAAAGTGATGGAAGGAAAGTTGCTTGGCCCTTAGCCAACCCCCTTTTCCCTTCTCCCCTCCCCTTCCCTCTGCCCCTCTCCCAGCTTAACTGGTGCCCAACTGCAGCTCCGGGTGTGTGGACAGGTGGGGGTGCAGCTCCCAAGATTGGGGGTGCAGGAGTGAGCTCTTGCTGGCAGTTTCCAGCCTGTCCCCCAAAGCACCCCCAGGACCCAACATTAGTAGCACTCTTCCACCACCAGCTGCGTTCGTCCCCCACCCAGAGAAGCAGCTCACCTCCCCCAGTCCAACGGGGCACCCCACATTGGAGGAAATGAACTGGGGATTGGAAGCACCAGGGGATGCTGCAGCCCCCAATAGCTTATTGAAAAACATCTTCACTAGCAGGCCCTAAAGCAGAGTCCCGGGGCCAGTGGCACCCTGAGCCCAGCCAGTCCAAAGGCGAGGGGCGCAGCGCTGAGGGGGCGCAGGAAAGGCAGCTACTGCGCAGTCCTCGCTCGTGCCTGCGCCGCCGCCCGTCTTGCCTCAGGCACCAAATGAGCTAGTTACGACTCTGAGTCCTGGCGTGTGGATGGGGCAGGCGGGGGAGGACACGGCCCCGGAGGGAGAGGCAGATCCGGGGCAGGGCAGCACCTCCCCACCACCTTCAGATCTGCTCCTCCCCATAGTCACGGTGCCATGTAATAAATTAAAGGCAAAAGCGTCTACGCCCTCGGGCTCTTCTTCCAGCAGCGTCTTTCAGGTGGAGCCCTCCAGCCCGCTCCTGCCCCCTCCCTCAGTCACTCCCGTTGGGCGGGCAGTGGGGGTTGCCCTCCAGCCCCCCTGAGCCAGCCAGCGGGTGACCCATCTTATCCACACACCAGCACTGGCCTCGCCGCTGTCCTTTGGATGCCCGGCACTGGAAGAGGAAAACAGGACAAAGGGGGTATGTGAGAGGACACACGCACGGGCTGATTGACAGCTTGCAGGGCATTTCCCGTCCCTCCCCTGCTCCTGGACCCTGAAATTAAACCTGAGATCCCCTCAAAGACTGGGAAGATGTTTCTAGCTCCCAGGGCTGCAGAGAAGAGCCAGAGATGGTACCTCGCAGCTTTGCCTCTAGCATCTCTCCGATGAGGAAACTGAGGCACAGGACAGGGCACCAACTTGCACAAGGTCCCAAGCAGTGCTGGGACTAGAACCTGAGTGTCTTGAGGCCCAGGCCCATACTGCACCCACAGGGCTGGGGTGTCCCCTGAAAGGAGGTGAACCCAGATGAGCAAAAGGACCTGTCTCAGGAGTGGGAGGGAGGTGCTTACATTCCCAGGCGGTATGGAGGTGGTAGTGCTGGGCCAGCCGGCCCCAGGCATAGGGCAGAGAGCAGAAGACCCACACACTATCTGTAAGGGCAGCCCATGGGACATAGGTCTGACCAGGCTAGTGGCTGACGCCCCACTGGGCTGATGACCAGCCACTCCAACACTGTCTTGGCAGCTGTTCGCTGGCACCCCACCAACGCCCTGCACTTGGAGGCTCACTGCTCGGACCCCATCCAGACAGCGCAGCCCCTGGCCCGGCCCTCCCTGACCCCTACCTGTTTTTTCCTGTAGAAGCCTTTGGTGTCGCAGTTGGGGATGAAGATGTCCTCACCGCTCCGGTACAGCGGGGCCTTGAGCTCCAGCATGACGGTGGCCAGGTGCATGCGGCACGGAGCCTGCCAGGGGACCGGAGAGATTAGAAACCTCATGGGGGGACTCACTGGGTTCCCACAAACTTTCACAGCTGCCTCTTCTCCCGCCCCATTGCCCTGCCCCAGCCAGCCTAAGCATTGGGCTCTGCCCTCCCCTTTGCCTGCAGGGCCAACCAGCATGCCAGGGAGCTCCTGTCCCTGCAGCAGGAGTCCCCCAGCGCAGTGCCAGACTGGGGGTATGTCTACACTACCACCCTAGTTCGAACTAGTGTAGACATACCCTGGGGAACCATTTCTGGGCTACAGAACCAGTCCCAGGTGCGCTCAGAAGGGAGCACTGCAGGGCAGCAGCTGCCAACTACTCTGGTGCCAGCAGGAGGCACTGCAGCAGGGGGTGTAGCCACAGCCCACCCCACCCCCTTCTCTGCTTTGCCTTTGCCCAGCTCTGCCCGCCCGGCACTCCTGCCAAAGTCCAGGGGTGGGCACGGGATTTGTCCTGTTCATCCCTTCCGGTGCTCCAGCCACGAGCCTGGTTGGGGGCTTGTCCTGCTCCTCCCTGGAGAGCATCATTGGTGCATGGGGCTTGTGAGCCCCGAACCCTGCTCCCTGGCAGGAGCGCTGGGCAGGCGCAATGGGACATGCCCCCACATCCCAACTCTGCTCCTCAGCAGAAGCACCGGGTGGGCACAGCGCTCCAGGGATTCCTTCCCATCCCATCCCACCCTCTCCAAGGCTGGTTGGTGGGAGGTGGCCCAATCTCTCCTGCTCCCCACCACCTCTCATCATTGCCCACGCATCTGAGGTCAGGGCCCACCCAAGTGTCCCTTCTGGCCAGGTCACTGTGCAGCAGGATGCTGGCAGGGCCACCCAGGGGTTTCCTCTGCTGGCACTGGGTGCCAGGGCAGGTGATGCCCATGTCAGACTCCTGCAGGCATGTGCTTACCCTGGCCATGCCCTCGCCCCCACTCCCGCCCGCAACGCACCGTCTCCAGGTCCGGCTTGCCATTGCTGTTCAGTGAGATCTGGTGCAGCCGATCCTTGCTACCATTTGCCTCCGTCAGTGGCCCATGATGCTGGCGGGATAGAGGCTCCAGGGTGGGTTGGCTCAGCCTGCGACTCTCCTTCCAGCTCTCCCCTGGAGAGGAAAGGGAGACAAAGCCTGGGGTTCAGGCCTCAGTCTTCCATGCCCCCTCTTCCTGCTCTCTGACCTAGCCTGGGTAGCACAGGGGCCCCCGGCTGGTGCAGAGATCAGGCCCTTTGAGCTGCACAGCCTGGCCATTTGCTGCATCCTCACGTATTGGTACCCATGGCCCCCCTTCCAGGAGCTGTGGGGGGGGAGGGGGGGAGGCAGGGGGAGGGCATAGGCCATTGCTTTCAGGAGCTACCACCAACTCCGAGTGTCATAGTGTCCTTGGACACTCAGGACCCAACGTCTGGGCACCTGCGGCCCCTGTACTCTGCAGCTGGGTGGGCCATGGCCTTATGGGGCCCGGTGCCCAGAGTCCCGCAGCAGTTCCCAGGGCGGCATGCTGGGTACTAGGGGTCTGAAAACCCAGGAGGGGGAATCTTGCCTCTAAAATTGCTCTTTGCCAAGTGCCCCAGCAAATTTGTTCTCCCAGGGCCCAGGACAAACTGTCCTGTCCTGCACTTCCAAGCTCAGACACAGGGGGGAGCCAGAGCTCCTTGGATGGTGAGCAGGCCAGAGGGTTGGGTGACCTACAGATGGGCCTGGACACCCCTCTCCCCCATATCTAGCCACCTCCCACACAAAGATGGGCTCCCTCAGCACAGCAGCTGCTACAGAGTGAGTGGCACATGCCAGGAAGCAACTTGGGTGTCAGAAATAGGGGATGTTCTCCCCCCACTAGCCCCCTTGCATCTGCTACAGCCTCCTGGCTGCCTTTGCCCAAGGTGGAATTGCACAAGGCATCTCTGCCCTGGTGGGAAAAACCATCGCTTCATGTGGGGTAGAGCAAACAGCTGGATTCTGCCACTGCCCATGGCTGGGTCCCACTCCTCTCACCTTCCTCTTAAACATTTGTACCAGGGGTCTCTGACTAGGGCTCCCAGGTGCTAAGACTTGGTCACGGTAAGGTAGGCTCAAGACTTAGGCTTTTCCCCAAGTGTGAGGGTTGGGGGAGAGGGATTTTACTGGATCTCTTATTATGGAAGAGACTGGCATAAAACTGAGGTAGTTGCATTTAGAGCTCAAATCCAATAGCACAGACTCCAGCACCATCCATGAAAGGTGGCAGAGAAGTTGAAGTGCTTCTGACTACCCCGTCGGGAAGGGATGCTCCCCTGTGCTCATGCTGTTGCTCAGAAAGGTGGCTCTGATCTGCTCTGGTCTCCCAGCCAGGGCACCCCTGTTCCACCCTGCAGCTATCTCCCACAGCTGGGGTTTGTTACAAAGCAACAGATTCCATCTTCTGAGGATGCTGACTCACCAGCTAGAGCAATATCCTAAGCCCCAGATTAGCTCTGAGTAGCTCCCTGCACCCTGTCTGTTGCCACCTGACACCCCCATGCTGGCTCCTCTCTCTCTGGCCAAGGACAGGGGCTTGCCCCTGGTGCAAGAGAGCCAGGCTTTGAACCAGCCCCATTGGGACAGCTCAGTTCAGCCCCCATCTCCTGTACAGCAGTAATCCCTTCCCGTCTTCCTGCTGCCTGTGCCTCTTGGAGACCAACCCATGCTGGCAAATCTGAGTCCCTGCCAGCTGGGACCTTTGTCAGGCCCCCCCCTTCTTCACTGCACCCCCAGGCTTGGCTCAAGGCAGCAGCCTCCTTGGGAATGACGGGCAGGTAGCTAGATGGGGAGCTCTGTGGGGCAGGGGCCATGTGTCTGTTTGTACAGTACCTAGCACAGTGGGCGCCTGTCCTGTCTCACAGCTCGGGCTGGGCCTGTGCCCCTTTCCAAGACAAGTGGTGGAGCCAGTGTCCTCCGTGTGTCTGGAGGGGGGGGAATCGGGCTGGAGAAGGGCACCTGGTGCTTTGCCTGCAGAGGGCAAAGGAATGGGCTGGACGTGACCTTGGTGGGAGCATCCAGGGGCTATTGGCACCTCTCAATGGCTGGGGCAGGCCTGCCTGCCTATTGCCCCAGCAGTGGGAAGCTGCCCCTGCCCCGATTCCCAGGGCGTGCCCAGGCCTCTGTCCTGCCAGGCACCCCCCAGCGGGCATCAAGCCAGCCCAGA